GGTAGCAAGAAAAGCAGAAAGCAAAAACTATTAACTACTAACGCGAGTTTCTGATTGGCTTCTGCTTTTCTGTTTTCCGCTTTTTTGTCAAGGTGTGAATTCGCCCTTAGATCAAAAATTATGGACGTTTTTCGTAAAAAATCGTTTTTTGGATTTTTTAAAAAAACCTAAAAGAGCAATTTTTTATATTTATCAATATGGACGGAGCAAATCGGGAGCATTATTTTGAGCTATTGATCGTTCAGAAATTTTCATCTTACGGGCTAACTTCATGAGGATGAAAAAGGGAACGTTTGTCCAGTAAAACAACATGGCGACTACTACCAGAGAGGATCCTGAGAGCGGTCATGCCCGCGATTTAGCTGCGATAGAAATTGAGGGATTCGTTTGGTGGCGCTCGTGCTGTTCGGCCGTGTTTCTTCTCGCTCCCGAGTTTTTACGAGTTTTTCGAGTTTCTGTGTTTCCGATTGACTTTTTCCCCGGCATTCGATCCCTGGGGCTCTTTTCCAGGTTTATCTGGCTCGCGAATTGAACTAACAACTGCGCCCGATATAGCTTTTCTCCCCGGTATGTCGGGGGCTGCGGCCCCGAGTGGCGACGGAGGGGGGGGCGGGCTCGCTGCCGGCTCGGATTATCCCGTCCCGCATCAGTCCGTCTCGGTTTCTCTGGATTGTTTCTCTCAATTTGAAGGACAAATAGCTCAAGTGCAAGGTCACACTTCTCCTCCAACATCTAATAATGCCATTTCACATCCGCATCCTTCCCTTGTTTCTCTCCCTGTGATTACAAACAGCGACTCAAGTACGATTACATCAGCCAGTAACATGTCGCACAATGCCTCGGATAACGTGCCGTACAATATACTACTCAATACGTTGCCTACCGACGCAGTGTCATCGCAGCAGCAAGGTATTAGTCATTCTCAGGACGCAAATATGAACTTTACCCCCGAAGGAGACGTTAATGCAATGGACATCGTTGGACAACGCAATAGCCTAAACAAAGGTAAAGCTAATAAACGCGCCTTTTGCGCTCTTGAAGACAGCCAATCATCCGCGCCCGCAACGGGCCCTGGGACTTCCACGTCTTCCTCTGCGCCATCTCGTTCGCCGGATGGCAAATCGCGGAGGGTGGAGGAGAGATCCAACGTGTATTCAAACCGGGACCGGCCGCCTTACGTTGTCCACATACACGCACTTGGAAATAACCGTTCCAACCCCCCTCATCCGATGCGTATGTTCGCACAAGTGGGGAGAATAACGCCTGCCTCAGACATTGCCGAAATGAAAAAATTAGGTATAGGTAAGATTTCGGTAGAGTGTAAGTCAGCCTCCGCAGCTAACACGCTAGCTTCGAACCCCATGCTTTCCACGATTAACTACAAAGCACTCATTCCAAACTACAGAGTTTTACGCACTGGCGTTATACAAGACGTGCCCCAGGAATTTAGCCTGGAGGACATTAAAAGTTCAATCACTTCAGACCAGGAAATTATAGAAATCCAACGCCTCAACAGGAAAACCACCGTCGATGGAAGATCTCAGTTTGTGCCTTCCCGCACCATACGTATAAAATTCTCAGGACAAGTACTGCCGCCCCACGTCACACTATTCTGGTCTCGTCATGAAGTGCGCCCGTACATCCCGAAGGTGAGGATCTGCTATTCCTGCTTCAGGGCAGGACATGCCAGCGATTCATGCCGCAGCGCGCCGAGGTGCCTCTATTGCGGTAGCCCTCCGCACATTGAGGGCTCGGAGTGCCCCTTAATAAACAATAAGCCTAGCTGCATTAACTGCTCAGGAGAGCACCTTCCCACCGACCCTAACTGTTCCGCTCTCTCTAATCAAAAGAAAATCCTCACACTCGCGGCCACTCACAACATTCCGCTTATTGAGGCCAAGAAAAGATGTGCAAATCCGGCCCCCCGCGGTCCCAGCTCTGGCCCCTCTCTACATTCGTATTCATCTCGCAGCAATGACAGCTCTTATGGGATTAATAGCCAAAATAGATTTGATATCCTCAGTGATTATTCGCAGGATTACCCTCCGGAAAATCGCAACACCTACGCACAAGTCGCCTCTAACGCACCACACAATCGTCAAGCATATCGAGTCGAATCCTCACCGCGCCCGGCTCACCGACAATCCTCCGGGGAAAACCGAACTGACCACCTTGCTCAGCATTCTGGCCCTGATGGCGCAGAACATTTAATTGCGTCCAATGGACGCATGCCCTCAGTCTCAGGTAACGGTGTCGGCTTCTCGCCTCCGCCCCCACTCAGTGGTAACTCTATCCCTAACCCCGGTCCTTCCGGTACCGCCTTTAACTCTATCATAGAATTACTCACAGCCATTGGATTTGGCGGTGCGTCAGACATTTCCGCGACAGTACAACAGATTTTCTCCATTATTAAACTTGTGTCCCCTATCTTAAACAAAATCGCACAAATTTTAGAATTTTCCAATATAAGCAATTTATCACCCTCACAACATCCGGTTTTTCAGTCTACTCCCCCGCGGGGCTTTCCCCCTACAACGGGGCCAGCTCACGGTCCATAAACCTATTCCCCTCCCCCTCCCGTTCCCCCTCCCTTGCTCCCTCTCTCCCCCTTTCCCCCTCCCCCATCTCCCCTAACTCCCCTTTTTGCGTCAATAGAGCCAGTCATGGCGGTAACGGCCATCGGTCGGTTCGTGTTTTATCCTGGAACTGCCGCGGGCTGCGTGGCAAAATCCATGAAGTTCAAAGTCTGACCAGCACATTTGATGTTATCTGCCTGCAGGAAACCCTACTTAACCCGTCTTCTAAGATTAACCTAAAGGGATGCCAGATTTTAAGAAGGGACCGATGTGCCCCTGGAGAGAGTGGCGTATGTCTTATTGTCAATAACTCTATTAAATTCACACCTTTAAGCGATGATCTTAACTTCCACGATTCCCTTGAGATAATCGGGATTAAGCTGGAATGCTCTGGTGAACCAGTTTGCATTGTGAATGTATACAGACACCCTCGCCGTACACCTTCTCAAGCGCTCTCCGCCTTATTCAACTTGGTCAATCTGTATAAGAACGTCCTGCTTGCAGGAGACTTCAACGCCCACCATGCCTCCTGGGGATGTGGCAGAACGGACTCTATTGGTACTGCTATCGCCAACACAGCAGAGAGTTCTGACTTGATTTTGCTCAATGACAACTCTCCGACTCTTCTTACCCCTCCGGGCTCTTCGAGCTCGGTAATAGACCTCGCCATTGCAACTGCCACCTTCGCCCCGATTTGCACGTTCGCTCGCCTACCTGACACACTGGGAAGCGATCACTTTCCCATTTCAATTAGTTTGGGATGCAATCCTATTGCCAAGAAGAGATTTGTCTACAAAATTAGACTTAATAAAGACCAAAAGGCACACTTCCATTTCTGTCTGTCTAAGGATACTAGCTTTCTACCTTCTATAACGGGCGAAAACATTGTGACGGCCTACTCGGAATTTACCACTCTCATCAAATCGCACCTCGCGGCTCTTTTCCCTGACAAAGACATCTCACCACGTTCTATGCTAATCAGAAACCACAAAACCCCCCCCATCTGGTGGGACGAAGAGTGCGAAACCCTGGTTAAGGATAGAAAGGGAGCCATGGGTTTATTTAAAGCTAGTCCAAACATAGAAAACTTCGTAAACTACAAGAAATCTTGCGCGCTTGTCTCTAAATCCCTCAAAAAAATAAAAAGACAGAAATGGAAGGAGCTTTGTGGATCTTTCGATAGCAAAACCCCCACAGCTAAATTGTGGAGTCTCGTTAAGATGTTTAAAAGAAGAAACTTGTGCGAGGATCATGATGGCTTTGCATCAATTCTATCTCCTACGGTCTTCGAACAGGCCGTATCCAAGCTATGCCCCGACTCCTGTTTTAATGACAATCGGCAATCCTTACACGATATGATAGCTTCAGACCTACGGAATCCGCGCATTATTCCTGAATTAGACAATGAGATTTCAGCTAAAGAACTTGATTTAGCCATTAATACTTCCAAGGTTAAATCTGCCCCCGGTCTGGATCAGCTAGACTACGAGGCCATTCTATCGTTCCCTCAAGAATTCAGAAATAAACTCCGCGAGCTATACAACGGCATCTTTAAAACGGGTCTCTTTCCGGACGACTGGAAGTCCTCGCTGGTGATTTTCATCCCTAAAAACGGAGGCGGTGTTAGACCAATCTCTCTCCTATCCTGCTTGCTCAAACTACTCGAGAAAGTGATTTATTTCAGGCTCCGCTGGTTCCTGGAATCCCGTCCTGTATTACCGGACTCCCAACTTGGTTTTCGACCCGCCAAGTCCTGTGCGGATAACTTGTGCGCTTTCACCAACTTCATCCAATCGGGTTTTCTTCTGTCAGAACATACAATCGCCGTGTTCCTGGACATACAGGGAGCTTTCGATAATGTCTGCCCAGACATACTAATCCAGGATCTATCCGACATAGGTATCCCGGCACATTGTCGCAAATTCATTGAAAACCTAATCACTAAAAGAAAAATATTCTTTGTGAAGGACGGCGTGCTCACTGGCCCTTTCTTCTCCTACAAAGGCACCCCTCAGGGGTCAACGCTCAGCCCGCTCTTATTCAACATATTCTTAAGACTTATACGCGAATGTATTCCACATAATGTACGCATTCTACAGTACGCGGACGATATCGTCATACTGGCCACAGATAAAAATACCGGTCGGGCGCTAGATGCGCTTCAGACCGCTCTTGATAATGTGTGGCGCTTTCTAAAATTTAGAGGCCTTGAGCTGTCACCCAGCAAGTCCTGCTGGATGCTGTTCACGAAGGCCAGAGCTGACCCTGCTCCCCCTAACACGTCACTCTGTATTAACAATCAACCTATCCCTCGTGTATTTTCTACCCGCTTTCTTGGCATTATTTTTGACCCCGCCTTAAAAGGAGAGGCTCACCTCAAATATCTGGTTCGCAAGGGAAAGGCTGTCTCGGATGTGCTGGCATCTATTGCGGGCACGTCTTGGGGGGCGCACCCTGACACTTTACTCAACATCTATCGATCTGTCTTCCGCGGCTCTATTGAATACGGGTGCTTTGTCTTCCGTTTTACGGGTAATAAATCCGCTTTATTAAAGCTTGAAAGGCAACAATATCGCTCCATCAGAATTGCCTTAGGATATAGAATTTCCACGCCTATAAACGTTATGCTCGCAGAAGCGAAAGAACATCCACTCTCTGTAAGATTTACTTACCTCACGGATAAATATCTATACAAACAATACTCTCAGAGGTTCAGCATTGTCTTACGCAGTTTGCGACGCCTAGACATATCCGCTTATTCGGACACACTCAAGGACAAAGCTCGAAAGCACATCTTGGTTTATGACAGATACTGCGCCACAAGACACACTAAAGAAAATGTTCACCGCTCAACATTCTTGCCCCCCTTTGGCAACAGCTATGAACTCTCCATCTACAGTAAAGATTATACATCTATTTCAAGCATAGATAAAGACACCCACCCAGGGGTAGCACAAGCTAAATTCACAGAATTCTTCGAGGACCTTCCCTTCGAGACTACTGCATTCTACACAGATGGCTCCAAACTAGACACACACTCTTCTGTAGGAGCAAGCATATACTCTCCAAGCTACAACTTTATTGCATGCTACAAGCTTCCTTCTTCTTCCTCCATCTTTTCGGCTGAAGCTTGGGCTGTAATGCACGCTATCATCGCAACTAAAGATTTAAATATCACTGAAGCCATCATTTTTACAGACTCTAGAAGCGTTCTCACCGCCATCGCCTCATCGGACTATAAACAAGGCAACCACATCATACACCGAATCAAACAAAGTCTTATTACTGCAGAATCTGAAGGAAGAAACATCACTCTCTGCTGGATCCCATCGCACAAGGGGATCCCAGGAAACGAAAGAGCGGATCGCCTCGCCAAGCTGGCTGCAACCAATGGCACCAGGTCTCCCTTTTTCGACATCCCTTATACGGACCTGCAAGTTCAAGCTAAAGCGCACCGCCAAGTGATCTTCAAACAATACCTTGAAGAGACATTCCTTGCCAAAGGCATTCAATACTCAGAGCTGTACCTCAATGATTCGCCTAAGCCTTGGTTCCACAATAAAGGTCTTAATAGAGAGGAAATAGTCTGCGTTTCCCGCATCCGAAGTAATCACTACAACCTGAATTACAGCCTTTTTAGGAAAAAGATTATCGACTCCCCAGAATGTCCATGCGGCGATACAAGGCAAGATGTCAATCATATTGTATTTTACTGTCAGCTCTGCATCCACAAGTCTGCCAAGCTCAGAGCATTCATAAAGAAGAATTTCCCCACATTCATGATCGACTTATTCCCTATGCTTAAGGACCCTTCCCCTAGATTCTGCACTCTCTTGTCCTC